GCTTTTCTGTGCACTATAGTCCATTGGTTGCATTAAGGTTAGGACATTTTATTCAATGTCAATAGACATAATGCTTAAAATTACTGTTTTATTGCGAGAACTTTCGAAGTTGATTCCCAATACGGTTAAATTTAAAGAAATGTCCCCTTTTTGGCACATTACACACTGCTTCATGTCGAATTACTAAGCTTTTGGCTATAGACTTTCACACTAAAAAGAATAAAAACCTTGTTCTCAGAGATGCCATTATAGTCTATGTAGAATCAAATTTCCTATTTGAAGTTCTCTAGAAGGATGTCACACCAAGATTGTGTCAAAATTATGAGTCCATATATATTAGCTTTTTGAAGGGAACCAAATGGTTATTCTCACACAAATTATCGGAGGTCATTTCATTGGTGAATTTTATATCTATTACAATATCTCATTCTTAACTTAAACCAAGGTCTCCACATACACTTGCTATAAACCAAGTTTTAACAATATCTTATATCTTCCTATCTATGTATATTGTAGCAAAACCATTTTTCTAGTTTAGGTAACAGCAATCCAGAACTAAGGGAATCCATCAGCAATCCAAAACGGGGTCTTCATATAAGCTTGCTTTTAACTGAATTGGATTATGATATTTCAATAATATAAGACTGCTATATACCAAGTTTGATTACAATATCTCATGCCTAACTCTAGTTATTGTCCAGAACCCATTTTTTTCTAATTTTAGTAACAGTGACATAGACTTAGACCAAAGGGGATCCAAAAGCAATGCCAACTGGGGTCTTTAAATAAGCTTCCTATTTACCAAGACTGATTAAAATATCTCAGTCCTAACTCTAGTTATTTCCGGAAACCATTATTCTATTTTAGTGTCAGTGATCTTGGTCCTAGGGTGTTTAACAACAATCCAAACAAGGGTCTTCATTTACTTGCTATCTTACAAGTTTGATTAAAATATCTCATCCCTAACTCTATTCTATGTTACAACGGCCTTGACCCCAGTGGTCCAACAACTACCTCTTCTGTCCGGGGCCTTAAAATAAGTCTGCTATATACCAACTTTGATTACAATATCTCATTTCTAACTATAGTTATTGTCAAAAAATGATATTTTTCTAATTTTAGTAACAGTGACCTTGACTTTGACCAATAGGGGTCCAAAGCAATCCCAAAAACAAGGGTCTACTTGTAAGCTTGCTATGAACCAAGACTGATTACAAAATCTCATTCCTAAAGTTTCCAGAAACCATTTTTCTATTTTAAGTAACACTGACCTTGACATTGCATCCATTGCTCTGAAAGCAATCACAACTGGTGTCTTCATATAAGCTTGTTGTATACCAAATTTGATTACATTATGTCATCCCTATCTCTTACTTTTGTTAAGAAAATATTTTTCTGTTTTTTTCTAACGATGGCCTTGATCTTGACACAAGGATGTTTAAATGCAATACGAACTGGGGTCGTCATTTAAGTTTGATATATAACCAGGTTGACTACAATATCTCAATTCCTAACTCTTGTTATTGTCAGGACACCAGTTTTCTTTTATTTTTAGTAACACTGATCTTGACCCTCAGCCAATGGGTCCGAAAGCAATCCCAAACAGTGTATTCATATAAGCTTACTGTATACCAAGTTAGAAATACTTTAACCAAAAACTTTCTCTTGATATTAGCTAGTCTAGAGGCGCAGCAAGTCCAAAAGCGCAGCAAGTCTAGAGAAGGAAGCAGGGTTTCTAGAGAGAGAGGAGAGGAAACTACGTAGATGAGACGAGAAAAGAATACTAGAGATGAAGCATGAGCTTCAGATGAAAGAAACAAAATTAGAAGTTGAGAGGATAAGGATGGCACGACCAGTAGTAGAACGCCTCACCCAAAACTTCCGAGGTTTTGAACAGACTCAATCTAACCGAGCCTGCAACATTTTCAATTTTGTCGTGTTGGGCTTTCTTTAGGGATTCTGTATTTATCTATTTTATTTGATGAAGTCCATGATGATATGGACGCATATATAGAGAGATTTGAGAGATATGCATCAAGCCAAGGTTGGGAAGAAGAGAGTTGAGCAATGAGTTTGAGTATTCGTCTTACAGGGAATGGACTAGTAGTACATACAAACATGTCCAGGAAGCGTGTGATTACATAATGTTGAAAACAGCGGTGCTTAAGTGGTACCAGCTGACCGAAGAAGGGTTTAGGATAGAATTTCGAGACAGCAAGCCATAGGCAGGAGAATCTGTGCATCAATATCTTTCCAGATTACAGCGATATTTCTCGAGGTGGACTGACATAGCACAGAACGAACAGTCTTATCAATCACTGTGCGAGATGATGATAAGAGAGCAGTGTATCGAAAGCAGCTCATTAGACCTGGCCATGTTTTTGTAGGAGAGGGCGCCAAATGCGATGACAGATCTATGCCAAAGGGCAGAGCAATATGTCGAAGCACATGATGGAAGATTGGAGGCTTCGAGGCAATGCTCGAGCAGTGCTCCAAGGAAGATAGATGATGCTTTTTAAAGTAAAATAATATCATACCGTGCAAGAAAGAATGACTTTGATAGAGGAAGAAAAACATGCTTCAACTGTAACAGTGCCGGTCATTTGGCAAGAGACTGTCATGGTTGGAGCAGAGAGACTTCTCGTCAAAAAGAGGAGAAGAAAATTTCAGCAGCCTGTAAATGCGCAGAGGTTACCGACGATCTCTGGTAGTAGAATGATACCACAGAACGACGAAGTCAGTCCGACATTTATAGGTGGCTGTTCCACAGATCTAGAGCAAGGGGCTAGAAACCTGGACATACAAAGAGGGTATATTGGTCGTAGAGTAGTCAAAGTACTCAGAGATACCGGCTGTGAGTCAGCTGCAGTGCGGAGAGAGGTTGTGAGACCAGAGCAATACATAGCAAAGAAAGCGCGAATGATTACTACAGATGGGAAGGGCAAAATTGTTCCAATGGCGAAGATAAATGTTGATACTCCTTACTTTGTTGGTGAGATTGAAGCCATGGTCCCAAAGAATCTAATTTGTGATTAGATAATAGGAAGCATAACTGGAGTAAAAGATATGCTATGTCCAAAATGGAAGAATAAAGAGATTAGTCAAAACATAAAATCGTTAACGAGAACCACGAAGAAAGAGACAGACAAGAAAGCAAGTTACCGATGAAATTAATCTTGACTTATCTTATGTGAATATATATTCACTTAAAAAGAAGGACTATTATCAAGATTGTGATTTTTATTATTTTTATCGTTTTATTTTATGTTTGATTCAGCAGCACAAATCTGATTCAATTCATTTATAAATCAGTTTTTAGATATTTGGCTGGACTTTTGAATTTGCACTTGATTTCATGTTGATACGTTTATTTAAACTCAAGTTATAGTGCGTCAAAAGAAACACATTTGTGTTTTAAATTACTGCGATGTCGATTATATTGTGACGTCACACCAATTGTTTTCTTTTAGGTTCGTGCCGTTGCTTTATATATTGAGAGAAATAAAGAACTCTGATGTTCATTTAGTACGAGAAGATCAGAAAAAATTATTTTCCGAATAAGGACTTTACATTATTGTCTAAGAGATTTCTGCTGAAGGAGTGAAGCAGGTCTACAGAGTGTAGCAAGTCTAGAAGCGCAGCAAGTCCCAAAGAGCAGCAAGTTTAGAAGCGCAGCAAATCCAAAAGCGCAGTAAGTCAAGAAGCGCAGCAAGTCCAGAAGCGAAGCATTCCAGGAGTGCAGCAAGTCCAAAAGTGCAGCAAGTCCAGGAGTGCAGCAAGTTCAAAAGTGCAGCAAGTCCCGAAGCATTAATTCCTCTATCTAGTAAGTCCCTTTTGTTAATAAGACAAAGTTTCCTTAAAAAGTGGACCCACACAGACGTCGGACAAAAGAAAACCATTTTTCAATTTTTAGTAAAGGTGACCCTGACTTGACCTTGACACAAGGAGGTCCAATCGGGGTATTCAAATAACCTAGCTATATACCTAGTCTGATTACAATTTCTCATTCCTAAATCTAGTTATTGTTTGGAAACCATTTTTCTATCTTAAGTGACGGTGACTTTGACCCAACGGTGTCCGAATGTGCTGCCTGAAAGGTCTTCATATAAGATTGCTTATACCAAGTTTTTTTATAACGACATCCCATTCCCAAGTCGAGTTATTGTCAGGAAACTTTTTTTCCTTTTTAGTAACAGTGACTTTGACTTTTGGAGGCCAAAATGCCATATCAATCGGGTTCTTTATGCAAGCTTCCCAAATATTAAGTTTCATTACAATATCTCATTCCTCTCATGTCAAAAAACAATTCCAACCGGGTTTCGTCATAAGGCTGCTATATACCAAGTTACAGATACTCACCACAAACTATAGTTATCATCAGGAAACCATTAAGTGAACGGATCGACCGACTTCTCAACACCCCTCCTTTGTTTCTGGACGTAAAATAAACTGTGCAGAACTACACCAAACTGTAGTATATCTACATTTTTGGCTCATATCTTGTAGAACAGATTTCGAGAATAGGCGCAAGATAATATTGTTTTTTATAAAAATCCCGAGAACAAGTGATCCTTCGAAGCATTAATCACAACAAAATTACATAAAACAATTGCAGACTTGGTTTTATTGCGTTTGTACATGAGGGATAAACACAATGTAACGCCTGACGTCATTCTAATCTCCGGGCGTCTTTTTCTGCGCATCGATGAAATATGTCTTCAGTTTTCTGTTTGTTTGACTTTGTCATTCATAAAAATTTAAGATATTTTCTTTTCGTTATTGAAAGTAAACGGGAGAAAATAGCCTTGCCGACATAAATAAAACTCTCGGCTAGCGTTTCGGGTCACATCAATCTCATTGTGTCTATACACTCTCGTATACCCCGTCAGCAACTTGCATATAATAGTATTAAAAGTATTTAAGCCAATCGGCATTTTTCAGGAAATTAATTGACACTATTATAATGGCTGAAGTAATTTTAACAAAACTGCAAGAAATGAATAACCATTTATTTAGTTTATAAAATATACACGATATTATCAGAACAATACAGGATTTGAAATTTATATACAACAAAATATTATCATACCGGCCTATTAAAGGGATACTCAGACAAACAAATGATTAAATTATTAAAGTGATTTCATGTTCTCAAATCACGCTTAAATGTTTTTTTAAGTCCCAACATGAATTTCTGTATTTATTCTTTATATTTTGGGTTAGAAGCGTAAATATATCAGACTAGATATATTAATCAAAACAATAACAGGTATTGTGGATACTATATAATTGAAACAAGTCTAAGTCATTCATTAGACATATTTATAAACGTTTCGAGAGTTCACTGTTACATTTACAGACTAATGAATGAAAACATCAAAACGAAGAAATGAAAATTTTGCCTGTGTCTCCCTTTTAAAGTGACTAGCTTTTCTACAATAAACGCGGTATATGCATTCATATATATTATTTAAATGGGGAATTAATAAAAGAAAGTTGCATACATTTGACATTCAAAATCAACTCCTATCTTCCATGTGTTCCGGTATTTACAGCATATTTAATCTACATTTAACCAAATGTCTGTGCAGAACGAAATATTGCTCGTTGGTACCTGTTCAGGTAGTATTAAGCTAAGTAAAATAATACAGCGTTTAAATATTCAGTAAAATAAAGATGCAATAATTATATATATACAGAAGTAAATTATTGTACAATTAACCTATTATTTACAAAAGCTTGCTAAAAAGTTAAAATTAATTATCAATTGTAGTGGTAGAAGCAACTGCTAAAATAATTGTCTCTTCTTTCAAAGGGATTATATGGTATTTTATCATTGCAGTAAGTCACATATGTGCTATATTCCCTTACTGTATTCGTTTTAATGAGGAAACATATCGTAACATTTCAAATCTACTTTCAACAAGGTACATTTCATCTTAACATGCTTGACTCCTCAACTATATTTATTTCAATAGAAAGTCATTTTAAATAAAGCAATCTACAATTACACATATTCCCTTATACACGAAAAATACATTAATTTTAAATGAATCACACATAAAGAGAGAAAAATAAGCATAACTGGCAAAAGCTCTCGTTAATCATTTCTTTTAGTAAACAGAATCAAAACTACATCAAGTCAACAAAAGTAAAATTCTAAAATTTAATAATCATTTTAACCCAAAATTGAAAAAAAGTTTGTTTGCAATACATTGTTTCCATAAATTTTCTAAACATAGACACATATGATTATGAATTTAAATTTAATTTGCCATTTATTATATTTTAAGTTTTCGCCAGCCAAAAAATATAATAAGAAAAGGTAATTTTTAAAAATGGTAGTTTGTATTAGTTTCCCTACAAAGACTCACTGTCATTTAAATTAAGAAAACATCAGGGATTTTTTTTGCCTAATTTTATAGCCGATATTCTTTCATATTCCCAAATGAAAAGTGAATATTTTTTTCCCTATCCACAGGAAAAAAATCCCAATTGAAAGTGACAAATTATAAAAAGTGAATAACAAATTCAAAAATCTTGGAAAATAAGAGCTTTTTCACTGTTATTGTGTTTAAAAGTTTAAAGATGCCTTCCTAGACAGTAATTCTTTGCATTCATATAATCACTGCAAAATTTAAGACATGCAATTTTTTTCCCAAATTTTAACAAAACATCGTTGAAATTCCCAATTCCATGGGTATGGGACATGTTCCAAAAATCCTGGAAAAAACCTGTAGAGAATGAAATAATTAAACTTTTTTGCAATACATTGTATTTTCTGGTAGGTTTCTCCAGGAGGTCGAACGTGCAGCAGTGCGGTACTTTTAAACGAGGTGAAATAGTGCGATAGGGAATAATGGCGGAGGAAAGTGACATATAGTCTGGGTAAGAACCAGTATGTTTCAAATATGTGTTGTATGTTGTAATTTTTGTTCGAATCATATAGTGCATGCGGAGCGTAAAATATACTTGTATATGATGGTCAAGTGAACAAATCTATTTCATTATAAGGAGAAAGTTATTGAGGCATTTGCTACTTCAAATGCCGCCGGCAATCTGACATACCTATATAAAAGAACACAACACATGTTATGGTACATATATTTGATTAGTTATATCTACAACATATTTATTTTAAATAAAAAACAAAACTTTATACATGAAACGTTTTAACTATCTATCTCGTAAATATCTACAATTTTTTCCGTATTTTTCTACTGTATGCATGATAACTGGTCCGATAAATTAACTGTACGTAAAAATTTTGGTTCCTTACGATGCGTTTACATGATCAACTGATATTTGTTCTATACGCATTGGCAATTAGTTACTGGTTAGGTGAAAAGCAGTTTCATTTAGTGATCTATAGCATACCCAGATTATGCGAATGTTCATAGCATTTGAAAATGGATATAAGGAAAGACAGTTTTCATTCCATGTGTAGTGATACAGTGAATCTAAATCAAAATATATTTTATTTTCAGTGTGCGTGGGTGTGTAAGAAAAGCTTAGCTATAGACACAGCTTCTACGGAAGAATGTGTGTCATGCCCAATTTAACAAAAGATCCGTGAGACACACAAAGCAGTGCATATAGCCCTCCAGTATGTTAATCCCTGAATTCGAAAGATCATTGCTGAGTATCGTCTTAAACCCATTTGTATGTGAACAATGTGGTATCATATTTAGCATGAAAGTACATTTTTACCGGAAATTCCACAAGTCAGCTAGACATTGAGAGATAAAACAATATACATTGATTAAGATTTTATAATGATCTTATAAAAAAGATATATAAAAACTGAAACACCAATGAGAGGTAATATTTTTTTCAATAATCAGCAAGAGTTAATAGTGAATCAATAATATTACATGTATATAGCAAAATGGATATACATTGTATACATTATTTCTCTTGTATTCATGTTCACTATTGTTTAAGATATGTGTTTAAAAACTATTGTCAAAACTAGTGAGGTCTTTTTTATTACCTAGTAGGATGTCAGGCAATATCAGTCTTTCGTCAACCTTGTAACGGATACTTCCATTGACTTTCCCTTTCTCCAAAGTGCCTCAACATTCCTTTCTTATTTATCGTGGTGGCCGAACATAAGGTTCATTGATTCTGAAATAATTTTTCCGTACCGCACCATTTCATCTCGCTTTAAAAAGTATCGCACCGCTATACGTTTGAGCCTCTATTTCTCTACACATACAAATATAGAAATAAAACTTTTTTGAAACACATTGTCTCCTTTTTTTAGTTTTCTCCACACAAACACATATAATAATAATTTGTTTGTCCATTATTGTAGTTCCTGCTATTTATCTCTGCACAAATAAATATAATGATAAAAAGTTTATTTGTCATGTATCGTAGTTTCTTTTAGTTTTCTCCACACGAACAAATATAAAAATTTAATTTTTATTTGCCATAAATTGTAGTTTATGTTAGTTTTCTTCACACAGACAAATAAAACGTTAATTGGCCAAACACTTCACATAAACAAGTATTATAATAAAACTTTGTTTGCAATACATTAAAATTTTGATAAGTTTTCTCCATACAAATGCATATAAATATAAAACATTTTTTTATTTGCAACACATTGTTGTATAATATGGTATCAACCCAAAAACAAATATAACTAGAAGGGATTTTTGCGACAAATGGATTATGTCTCCAACAAGTTAGTATTGTACTGATCACGTCTGTAAAGTTTCATCGAAATACTGCCAGCATTTGGCCTGTGAAAATCGGACAAGAGTTTTCTCTTATTAGCTTTGGCGGCCATTTTTTTTGACAGCGAAGCGGAACGTGCCGACAATATGAACATGTTTCGTCGAAATCCCACTGACAGTTTGACCTGTGAAAGCTGAACTTGATTTTCCAATTTTTAGCTCAGATGGCAAAGTTCCGCAGCGCAGCGGAATTTGCTGGCGATATAACCAACAAGGGATGGTTCTGCTCACTCATGTTTTAAGTTTAATTGAAAGTCCATCAGCAGTTTGACTATATCGGTCCATGGCTCATTTGTTCATTGAAGCGGAACTTGCCGATATTGTGCACAACTAGGTATGAAACTGATCACTCGTGTGAAGCTTCATTAAAATACTACCAGCACTTTGACCTGTGAAAGCCGGGCAAAATGTGTCTGTTTTTAGGTCTGGTGGTCATTGTGTGGTGGCGATATGAACAACCAGAGATGGTACTGACCACTACTGTAAGTTTCATTGCAATCCCACAAGCAGTTTGGCATGTGAAAGCCGAACAAGCTTCGTGTAGACGAACAGACGGGTGGCGAAGGCGAAGTTTTAGGTATATACAGTAATAAGGTTATATTAACAATACGTCTTTCTTCCTATCAGTTATCTCAACATAAATAAATATAATCCTACAACTTGATTTGCTATACATAGTAGTTTCTAAAAGTTATCTCCACACAAACAATCATATACAATATATATGTTTATTTAGCCGAAACATTATAATACAGATTACTTGGATCTACTTGTAATGTCTGTGCTTCTGGTAACTGCAATTCTGGGATAATCTAAAGAAATCAAACAAAATATATTTAAAGAAACCATCACACTGGTTAACAATGAGGAATTGGTGTTGCATGCCTAAACTGATTACAACAGTGTGGAAATTTATATTTCCATTTTACATATATTCCTTAGAGAAGTATAGTTTAAAAGCTAAGAAGAATGCAAAACTAGTTTCTACCAGAAAAAGTTTCATATCGTATATAAAAGTGATAAGAATTTATGTTATTAAAGGCAAAGCTTTGAAGCGATATTGTTTATTTATTTATCTTAAGACATACCTGTAATTCTAGAGAACTGTAATCAGCGGAGCAGAGCCTACTAGCATCACCATCACTAGCTGTTAGACTTTCATACACTGCTGCAGTCTCGTTTACTTCAACTGGTGTCGTTACTGAGTTATTGGCTACAATTGTAACAATAGAGTTTAAATTTCCATACAAATTGGCTTTTTAAATTATAATCATTTTTCCAGTCTAACAATTCATTTGTTTACCATTTGGCCCTGCTTGATTTCATAATTGCTTATGTCTTTTCCATGATAATTGAAAAAAAAAAACGAATAAGAGCAAACAATGTATATAATGACATCATGCTTAAAACTGTGGCTAATTTGTCGTATTGCCGTCCTCCAAACGAACGAGTTACTGTAACAGTTACAGAAATACTCACAATTTAATTCATTGTCCCTCACAACAGCATAGCTCATGTTTGTGCTGTCCTTGATATTCGATCTTAGAATAGCGTTCGCAGTTTCTTGTCTTTTGAGTCTATAGGGGAATAATAATATTACAATGTACTATTTATGGAATTCGTAACGTAACCTGCGTACAAATATCAATTAAAGCCAGGACAGTGTTAACGAACATATGTTTAAATACCCTATTGCATGCTTTGTTTTGAGGGAATGCTCAGATGATTGTTATTTCCTTAAAATGTAGTTTTGTAAGATAAAGGAAAAAACAATTAAATGTAGAAGTATCCGTCAAAACACAATTTTATTAAAGCGTACCCGCTTAACCCGGGCAGTATCAATGCTTTGTAAATAGTACACCCTGGTTATATACTCAAGTTCTTTGAAATATGAACAGTATAAAATTAGTCTGAGGTTGAAAATTGAACAGTACAGTACTGAGCCCTGTAAGGCTGAACGAAAAGCTGCATGCAGCTCTTTATCTATATTGTGGCATAGTCTTATGACGATATGTGTTAGTGGGATAAGCGTTTCTATAAGAAATGAATCCATAATGTTTTCATACAACTTGATGTTATTCTTAGACTATTATAATTGTAAATAATCTTTTCTGTATAATTTAAGGTAATTAATTGTAAAATATTTTAGAACAATGGCATAAATCTTATCTCTTTACTGACCTTTTTGTGAGAAAAACTATCGTAATTACTAATATCACAATTATAATGAAGCTGCATCCACCGACCGATACACCTATTGTCACCTCTTTATTGTCCTGAGCTTCAACTGCATGACTTATAACTGTAATATAAACTAGTATTATAACAACTATGAACTAGACCTCTATTTTATCACGTTTCATTTGTGAAGCAATTGCAATTAATTTCCTTGTTGAAAAGTAAAATCATCTGCTAACCATTATTTGTAAACAAGATGAACAAGGAAAGGCGACGTCCAGTGAACGCAACCCCCACACGACCCAGTAACAAGGACCAGTGGCCGGGAGCCCAGAAGGACCCCAAGCAAAACCAGGACAGGGCACAAGACAGAGCACGGACATTTGAAAACGAATTTGAATAAAAAAAATACTAAATTATTTTAAACTATAATTTTAAGCTATCTACCAGGGTTATCAAACTTAAAACATACATATATTGTGATATTGTATAGATATTTTCTGTTCAAGTTAATCTATCTCCCGGTACTTGAGATGGAATAGGAGGGAGTATAATAATAACAAGAGGGCCGTGATGACCCCGAATTTCTCACCAGAAACAGCTGCTTTTCAGTGTTGGAAATTATTTTTCCAATGAACTTGCTGAAAGGCAAGTCCAGCTCTTTCGGCAAGTTCAGCTCATTTTGAACTTGCCCCTTTAGTATATATGTACTTTCACAATACTGATTGTTTTAGTGTTTTCTCTCATAATAAACAATAGGGCCACTAAGATGGCCCTAGATCACTCATCTAACCCATAATTTCATTATTCACTTAAATTGAAATATTTTGCTCTAATATTTTAGAATTGCTTTGTTAAAAATATCTATGTTGCAAGTGTGTACCTATGAGACTATGTAGAATAAATGCAGTATAAATGACCACTAGAGAAGGATAAATTTTGATGAGACAATTTTTTGTGAATGAATACACAAAATGACACATGCAAATATATAAGGTGCAGATGATCGAAGCTTACCGTTTGAGACAACACATTTTTTATACATTCTATATGGTAACATAACTGTACCTCAAAAGAAAGATAATAGCTCAAGCATTGTAAAAAATATCAAAAGTAGGCCAGCTGATATCAAAGTTTAATTCAGCATCAGTCATTACTCACTTAGTCCAAATTTCATGTCTGCAAGGCAAAAAGCAAAAAAATAGTTCAAATGATATAAAAATGTCATAAGTTGGTCAGCTGCTATCAAAATGCAATTCAACATCAAAAATACAACCTTAGTCAAAATTTCAAGTCTGTATGTCAAAAAACAAGGAAATGGGTAAAATAATATTTAAAAAAATATCAAAAATAGTAAACAGCGAAGTACAAACGATCATCTTGTACGACATAGAAGCCTTTGTAAGTAAACAACACCTGGTATCAATTTTCTTTGATCTTGAGAAGGCTTACAAAATACTACTTGGAAATATGGTATTCTAAAAGATCTAAAGGGTGCTGGACTTAAAGGCAGACTTCCTCTTTTCATTTCTGGATTTCTTAACGATAGGCACTTTAAAGTAAGACTTGGTTCAACTTTTTCTGAGGGCCACAAACAAGAACAAGGTGTTCCTCAAGGAAGCGTACTTTCTGTTACACTTTTTGGCCTTAAAATAAACAACTTTGCTAGCGCTCTAGCACCAGGCATAGACTGTTCTCTATATGTAGACGATTTTCTTATCTGCTATCGATCGAAAAGTATGAGAACAATTGAAAGGCAACTTCAACAAAATTTAGATAAAATTCAAAAGTGGACAATTGAAAATGGTTTTAAATTCTCAAAGTAAAAAAACTCAATGTGTTCATTGTTTGTCGATTGCGGAAACACCATCATGACCCTGAACTTTACATATCTGGTTCTAAAATTCCAGTAGTTGATGAAGCTAAGTTTTTAGGAATTTTATTTGATAAAAAAACTTTCTTTTATACCACATATAAAACATTTGAAAACTAAATGCCTAAAAGCTTTAAATTTACTAAAGGTTTTATCAAGTACAAATTGGGGATCAAATTCTTCCACATTACTGAAATTATACAGAAGTCTTATCCGATCAAAATTAGATTATGGTTCTGTAGTATATGAATCTGCAAGAAAATCATATCTTCAAATGCTAGATACAATACATCACCAGAGTTTACGCTTAGCTTTAGGTGCTTTTCGCACTTCACCTGTAGAAAGTCTATATGCGGAAGCTGGGGAACCATCGCTTCATCTTCGTCAAAAAAAGCTATCACTTCAATATGCAACTAGAATTTCATCAAATAGCAAAAATCCAGCTAAAAATATTATTTTCAAACCAAGTTTTACTGAAAAGTTTGTAAACAAACCAAAGGAAATTAAACCATTAGGCCTTCGTTTAAATGATGATTTAGATAAACTTAAAATCAATCCAGACAGTATCCTTCAAAACGACGATAAAGATGTTCCACCTTGGTCTAATAACTCCCCAAAAATAAATATTAACCTTTCAAATATAAAAAAGTCATCAAATTCACCTGAACATTTCAAAGAGAAGTTTCTAGCGATTAAGGAAGAACATGAAGATTTTATACATATTTATACGGACAGTTCAAAAGAAGGTTGCAAGGTAGGTGCGGCTGTGTTTGAAAATAATTTTACATCTAGTATAAGGTTACCAGATAATGCATCAATTTTTACTGCTGAAGCAAAAGCTATAGATTTAGCATTGTCATACATAGAACATGCCCATGATAAATTTGTGATATTTTCTGACTCGCTTTCTGTTTTAATATCCAATAAAAATAAAAAATCTGACAATATCATGATAAAGAAACTTCTTTTACGATTTCATGATATACTTAAAACAGAATTGTTAAATTATATTGTATTTCAAGTCATGTAGGTATACGAGGAAATGAAAAAGTAGATGATTAAGCTAAACAATCATTAAATTTTCAAAAAACTGTCTTATTGTTCCTCTCTGGCGTGGGTTCGATCCCCGGGAGATGCTTTGGTAGTTTAGCGCGGAGGAAGGTTGTCTAGTACTGGTGTAACTAACCAGGAACGATGGTTAGGAAACTACCCGCCTATATGACTGAAATACTGTTGGGAAAAAGCGTAAAATGAAACAAACAAACAAAGACGTATTGTTACCTGCTTGTGATTTTAGACCGGCTATAAATAAACTCGTATCATCTGAATGGAAAGCAAATTGGGACAATGCCGTTTTTAATAAACTTTACGATATAAACCAATCTCTTGATGTGTCACCATCTCTATCTCTGTCAAACCGCCGTGATCAAACAGTTCTCCTTCGATGCCGAATTGGACACACTAAAATTACCCACTCTTATCTCCTCACGAATGACAATGCCCCTTTCTGTGTAGGTTGTAATGACAATTTTACTGTCAAGCATTTTCTTCTTGAATGTTATGATTTTTCACAGGCCCGTAATAGATTTTATTCTGTAAATTCACTCAAAGAACTCTTTCATACAATTCAATCAACAAACATCATTGATTATTTTAAAGAGATAAACTTGTATTTTAGGTTCTAATTGGCTCATTTTCATTCTAATTAACAAAGTTTTACATAACATTTTAAGCCTATTATAGCATTTGGCACGATATGACCAGGTATGTGTTGACGTGCCGTAAAAAATCCAAACATACAAACCAGAGCTGCATTACTGGTACTGGTACTGCAGTATGTACTGCAGCGATTTTGCAAATACTGGTACTGATACTGAATTACTTTTACAAAATTTTGCTACTACTGGTACTGGTACTGCATTACTGTCTTAAAAAATGGTACTGCTACTGCATTACCCAGTACTTTTGGTTTTGATAAACATTAAAAATAGCATCAATTTTTCTAATAAAATAAAGCTGTAAATTACATAAACTATATTATCAAATCTAAAGATAATTTGCTGCAATATTCCTTCAAATGTTAACATAGTATTCATCATAAAAAGCACCAAAGACTTTATTATTAATAAGTAAAAATTGAATTAAGATAAACAGACTCAATAACTCTTTACCCTAAAATATCCTTATTAAAATCTTTTATTACTTTTTATTTACTGGTAAAGTAGCAAAATAAACACTAATTAATTTCTTCTATTCTAAATAATCCATTTCAAGTGAAAAAAGTGATATTGTTAGCACCATAAAAAGTTGTTATTTACTTGGGTATAAATTGAACAGAGGTGTGAAGGTGTGAAAGGCAACAAAAGACTGTTGTGTTTTAAATGAAAGATGTTTGCATTGTATTTATACAGTTGACTGGTTACTAAACAATTAGATATGACATGAATATATGTTGTAAATATTGTTTGTAAAATGTATGTTAAAACTATAAAGTTGTAAATATGTTATGTTAACTTTAAAGTAAATTATGATTTTATTTCTTTGCTGAATAATATTTGCAATCATTTGTTTGTTTGACATTGTATTTATTCAAACTTTGTTGAATATATAAAAGAAATGGTACTGATACTTAATTACTTCACCAAAAAAAGTACTGGTACTGCAGTACCGAGCTAATATCTAGTACTGGTACTGGTAATGGTACTGCATAATTTGCCAAGTACTGGTACTGGTACTTAAGTACTACACCCTTAGTACTGCAGCTCTGATACAAACAAACAGATCGAATTTTATCAAAATTTGATGCCATCAGATAAACACCCTTGGTCAAAATTCCGCATCTGTACGTAAAAGACAAAAACAAGCAAGTTTGTTTGTTTGTTTGTTTGGATTTTAACGGCACGTCAACACATAACTGGCCATATCGAATGCTATAATAGGCCTAAAATGTTATGTAAAACTTTGTAAATGACAATAGAAATGAGCCAATTAGATCCCAGAATACAAGTTTATCTCTTCAAATAATCAATTATGTTTTTTGATGGAATTGTCTTAAAGAGTTCTTTGAGTGAATTTAGAGAATAAAATCTATTACGGGTCTGTGAAAAATCATGACATTCAAGAAGAAAATGCTTGACAGTAAAATATTCATTAAAACCTACACAGAAAGGGGCATTGTCATTTGTGAGGAGATAAGAGTGGGTAATTTTAGTGTGTCCAATTCGGCATCGAAGGAGAACTGTTTGATCACGGCGGTTTGACAGAGATAGAGATGGTGACACATCAAGAGATTGGTTTGTATCGTAAAGTTTATTAAAAACGGCATTGTCCCAATTTGCTTTCCATTCAGATGATACAAGTTTATTTATAGCCGGTCTAAAATCACAAGCAGGTAACAATAAGCCAGTGTTTTGAAAATTTCATGATTGTTTAGTTAAAGCATCTACTTTTTCATTTCTTCGTATACCTACATGACTTGGAATCCAATATAATTTAACAGCTTTTGTTTTTAGTATATCATGAAATCGTAAAAGAAGTTTCTTTATCATGATATTGTCAGATTTTTTATTTTTAATGGATATTAAAACAGAAAGCGAGTCAGAACATATCACAAATTTATCGTGGGTATGCTGTGCTATGTATGACAATGCTAAATCGATAGCTTTTGCTTCAGCAGTAAAAATTGATGCATTATCTGGTAACCTCATACTAGATGTAAAATTATTTTGAAACACAATCGAACCTACTTTGCAACCTTCTTTTGAACCGTCCGTATAAATATGTATAAAATCTTCATGTTCTTCCTTAATTGCTTGAAACTTCTCTTTGAAATATTCAGGTGAATTTGATGACTTTTTTATATTTGAAAGATTAATATTTATTTTCGGGGAATTATAAGTCCAAGGTGGAACATCCTCATCGTCATTTTGAAGGATACTGTCTGGGTTAATTTTAAGTTTATCTAAATCATCTTTTAAACGAAAGACTAATGGTTTAATTTCTAGGTAGGTCAACTGATATCAGTAATATCAAAAATATGCAAGCTGATATCAAAACTCAATATGGCACCAGAAATTACACCCATGGTCCAATTATGTACATACAAAATCACGAAAGTAGGTCAAGCGATACAAAACTATCAAAAGTAGGTCAGTTGATATCAAAATTACATTCCTAATTCAAACTTAAAATCTGAATGTCAAAAAACAAGAAAGTAGATCAAATGGTGTCAATAATACTTAAAGTAGGTCAGTAAATGTATTCCTAACTTTATTTGGTATCCAAGTTCTAGATCTGAAAGATACTTACACATTTTTGTTTTGTTACCTAGCTTAACAAGATTGCACTTGTGAACTGAACACTAAATAGTACCAGAATCAGATTTTTTTCTATACAATTGAACTTTGCTACAGTGCAATAGTGTCTAGTGTCAAATTTGGATATGAATAAACTATGTTTGGGAAGCTGCATATCCTATTATAGGCCAAATATAGTTGGTCTTTCCTATAAAAAAAACAGTTGTTTAATGACACTGTATATTCATACTGTGACCACCTATAGTGTTAAGAGTTTACATTATAACATATATGTTTTGTGTGAAGTCAAAACACTATATGAATTGTGTGAAGTCAAAACACTTTTATTTTATATTTACAAATAGACTGTGTATCTATTGTCAATATTTATCTAATATTAAATTTGAGCCTAGAATATCTTTAAAGTATAATTAGAAGAAATGTCATGACCTTGGGCTAAATTAAGCTTTAGCGGCCCCTACAAGGAGGGGCTAATCAAATGAATTCAAATTATATGTGCAAACTTGATAAAAGAATACCTAAGAATGCTAAAGACAATGATGGTGATCATCTATCTATTACTTCTGTAGGAGACGTTAAATTTTTAAGCTTTAGCGGCCTCTTAAATTTGCCAATCAAATTAATACGAGCAAACTAGATAAAATACTACCTAAGAATGCTACAGACAAAATTTTGTGATCATCCATAAATTATTTCAGTAGTTGATGTTCAAAGGTTTTTGCACTTGGCAGTACCGTCCATGAACATGCTCAATCAAACCGAGCCTGCAACATTTTCAATAAAGTCGTTTTGGACTTTTTTAGGGATTCTTGTTTTCTCTATATTTTTCTTTTTTGAGCTTAAGCGGCCCTTTAAATGGGCCAATCAAATTGATATGAGCAAACTTGATAAAAGACTACCCAAGAATGATACAGACAAAGTTTGGTGATCATCCATCAATTAGTTCTGTAGTAGAAGATGTTTAAATGTTTTTCTATTTTTAGCTCTGTTAACACCTAAAAGGGGCCAATTGAAATGACATGAGCAATTTTAAGTGTGACTGTCACAAGGATGCTTCAGACCAAATTTTAGGCAAATCTGCCCAGCAGTTTCAGAAAAGAAGACGATTGTTGACGCATGATGGCGGACGCCGGACGCCGAAGTATCACCCTTTGTTAATAATAGCTTACCCTGAGACTTCGGCTCTGGTGAATTAACAAGGGCACATTGTCGCAACATACGCCCGTCACAGAAGCTTTTGATAAATATGTATATAGGAGATATGCTCTGGGCAATATCTGGAAAATATCTGTATATATTATAAACTCTAGTGATTTTTTTCTGAATTTTAATCCCTATGTGACCTTGACCTTAGCCACAGGGACCTACATTTTATAAATGACACACCGCCTCACAATAGTGAAAATTTGTGCTAAGTTATATTAAAAATCTCTATGCGTGTAGAAGGTTTGCTCCGGACGAGCGTTTTTCAATGACCCTTTAGTGTGACCTTGACCCCTGGTTTATGCACATGACACTTCTCAAAGTGGTGAACATATGTATGAAGTTTTATTACAATCTCTCCGTATGAATAGGAGCTATGCCTTGAACAGAAGGTCTATATTTTATCATCTTTAGTGACCTTGACATATAAGCCTAAATTACATGTTTCACGCCAGTAGTCATGATAATGACCGTTTGTGTTTCATTCCCTCAATAAATGATGACTAAATGGTCCTAATACTCATTTTTATATTTTTATCTGAAATTTGAACCCCATGTGTGACCTTGACCTTGGCTGTAGGGACCTCAATTTTGCGTGCGACACCCAGCCTCACAATAGTGAACATTTGTGCCAAGTTATATTGAAATCCATCTATGCAGGTAGAAGTTTGCTCTGGGCAAGCATTTTTCTTTGACCTCTAGCTGTGACCTTGACCTTTGACCTTGAGGCCAGGTTTAAGCGCGCGACACCGCTTCCCATGGTTGATAACATTTGTTTGAAATATGAAAGACAAGATCAACAAGGAAAGGCGGCGTTCAATGAACGCAACCCCCATATGACCCAGCAACAAGAACCAACGGCAAGGAGCCCAGGCGGACCCCAAACATAAAAAGGACAGGGCAAGTTTCATTAGAATCTCTCCATATGTATAGGAGATATGCTCTGGACAAAATCTCTATATTGTATCACTTTAAGAGACCTTGGCAATCATCTTTAGTGACATTGACCTTGCATACATTATTCTAAATTACATGTTTCCCATCAGTTGTCATGAAACTGACCATTTGTGTTTTTATCCCTCAATACAAGAAGACTTAATTATCCCAATACACATTTTTAGCTGAACTTTGATCCCTATGTTTGACCTTGACCGCAGGGACCTCCATTTTGCACGCGATATTCCGCCTCTCAATAGTGAACATTTGTGCAAATTATATTGAAATAACCATATGCATGTAGAAGTTTTCACTCGGACAAACATTCTTCAATGACCTCGAGTGTGACCTTGGCCTTTGACCTAGAGGCCTGGTTTATGCACACGATACGGTTTCACATAGTGGTGAACACTTTTTTGAAGTTTTATTAAAATTCAACCATGTGTGTATGAGATAGGCTCAGGACAAAATTTGGACGCTGGCTCACAGCCGACCATCCCGCCAGGGGGACATTATTTACGGTTTTTACAATGATAACGACAGTGAAATACATATGCATGTATTGATATTTATGGTCAAAGTTGAAATATCAAATATCTAATAATTAATAAAAGAGAATTATCGTACAAAGGAAAAATATTCAAAGAATAGCAAACTTACCCAGAGAGCAATTTGCTCCTTTGTATCCTGTTTTGCATCCATGTGAGCATTCACCATACTCTCTACTACAAGTAGAATGCAAACAATTAGAACTACATTTCATATCACACCATTCTCCGTAATATCCAGCAGAAAATCCATTACTGCGATTTTCCCCCGCTTTGCAAGCAAAGCATTTGCCATCATCAATGCATTTATTGTTTTCACACCCAACAGGACATTTTATGTCACATAAATTGCCATACTTTCCTTCTTCGCACCTATCACACTTATCACCAGTAAAGCCACTTTTGCAACTGCATTCTCCTTTGTCGTCACAGATATTGTTTAGACAGCCTCGCTCACATTCGATATCACAGTTTGTACCATATTTATTGTTAACACATTCCATGCATTTCTCTGAGGTAAAACCAGTTTTACAAGTGCATACACCGTTACTTTTATTACATTGTCCGTTTAAACAACCCCGAGCACATTTGTTTTCGCATGCAGTACCGTATCGCCCCGATACACAATTTGTACATTTGTCAGATGAGATACACGACTTACATTCTGGTTTACATGTCTCCCTACAATCACTGAAATTGTAATTATAATTACCAGCAATACAGGATGTACATGTATCTTCCGATGAGCACGAACTACAGTTGCTGTTACACTTATAACAAAAGACGTCGCTGGCATTGAAATAATAACCAACGTTGCATTCAGTGCAATTATAGTTTGATGTACATGACTTACATGCACTGTCACATTTGTATGCACAGTTGTTATACTCTTTTTCGTTTACAGTGTTCTGTGTGCCGTTATTGTGATAGCCGCTTTTACACTCCTGGCAAGTCAAGTATGATGAACATGATTTACAGTTCTTATAGCATAGATGGCGACAATCGTTATATTCATTGACACTGTGTACATATTGTTTTCCATTATAGAAGCCGCTGTGACATTCGGTACAAATATTATATGATGTACACGTCTTGCAGTTCAGTTTACATTGAAAACGACAATCAGAGTAATAGTTATTATATGTCACGTCCAAATTACCATAATAACCGTCCATACATTTACTGCACGATGTATGATCAGTACATGCCAGACAATAAGTTAGACATGCATGTACACATTGAACACCAAAATATCCATCAATACAACCATATATACAGACATCATTATAACCATTGTAGTGTATACAACGTGTTGGTCCATTTTTACAGCAGCTGCATCTACCACACTCGTTAAAAGCTATACCTATCGGATGTGAAAAAATATGTGCTGTAAAGTTGGATTCCAACTACAACAGATTATATAATTACTACATAATGTTACATAATATTACCCAAGAAGTATAGCATATATAATCTTCATATACCTTTTTCAAGAAATATTAAGGGTTTAAACTTTCAATTAGATTTAAGTTTATTTTAAAGTTAAATGATATTAAACATGCATGTTTTTAAAAGACATTTCAATCTCATCATTCACTATATAAATGTTGAAAATAATTGTGTTGAGAAACTTTGTAGAACTTATCGATACATTCTTTAGTTTAAACATATTTCTTCTCAGAATATGTACATAATAACATTTGAAATATATACACATACAAAATTTGACAATATTCAAAGAAGAGGATTAGAACGAAAGACTAGGTCTTATAGAATTCTTCTCCTTTTAGTTGTTAAATATTTCGGTGTCGAACTGGTGATGTAAAATTTTCTGAGAAAAATATATATTACCATACGTATAATAGAAACAAATATATATTATATGGAGTATGACAGAAGTAGTAATTCAAAAGAGAGAAAGGGGAAGGAGAGTCTCATAATTATTTGTTATGTCTTAAATCGTTAAAGGAATCTTTTAGTTTTTGCTATAAAAGACTGCACGTTAGAGAATATTGTTGAGTTATCATCATCTGATAGGCCAGGGTTTCCGAAGAGAAGAATATCGAGATTGATATCAAAAGCTTGAATATCAATAAATAATTCATTTCGGTACAAATTGTAGCGATAACATTCAAAGAAGAAGTGATAGTTGGTTTCGACTTGACCACATTCACATAAAGGTGAGGGTGATATGTTTCTTAGAAAAAGATGATAATTTAAAGAACTGCATTTGGTGCGAAGACGTGTCTGGAGAACCTGTAATTTTCTGTTACCAGAATAGTAGTATTTAGGTGTGCGTTTCCTGTTACGTGTTAAGAAGTTCTTGAATGATGAAAGTGTTGGTTAGTTCCGAACTTCGGTTGGTAAGTTGTTCCAATCGCGTAAAGTAGAGGGAAGAAAGGAGTTGTAGTATAAAGAAGTTCGCGCATATATTCCAGCAGTATTACGTAAATTATACCTTGTATTAGTTTGATCAGGAATTAAGGAAGAGAGAAAGTCGGGAGTCAAACTGTTATGCATTTTATAAAACAGAATTAATCGGTGATTATACCGTCTTTGTTCTAATGTTTCCCAATTAAGTTCTTGAATTAGGTATTCGATAGAAACTAATCTTATCGCACCTGAAGCAATCCTAGCACAATCATTCTGAATCTTATTTAAGCTTTCGAGTTCATATTGAAAAGCATTTCCCTAAATGACGTCTGCGTATTCAAGAATAGGACGAATGAATGAAGTGTAAATTATCTCAAGAGATTTTCTGTCCAAAGAATATTTCAATTTTCGCATTATATTGACGCGTTTCCAAGCCTTTTTGGTTATATATTCAATGCGTGAATGCCAGTTATTAGTCCCCTACCGGTTAACCGGAGGGGACTTTAGGTTTACCCTCCGTCCGTCTGTCGGTCTGTCTGTCTGTCCGTCTGTCTGTCAGTCCGTCAGTCCGTCCACAAAACTGGATCCCGTGATAACTTGAAAAGTACTGAAAATATTTTTTATGAAACTTGATATATGGATAGATGACAGTATGGAGATTATGCACGTGTTTTCTTTTTCTTCCTATGTTGAAAATTCTTGTTGCTATGGCAACAAAAAGACTAAAAATATGGCACATTTAACACATAAACTGGATCCAGTGTTAACGCAAAAAGTAATAGAAATATTTTTATGAAACTTGTAATATAGGTAGATGGAAGTCTGGACATTATGCACATCTTTTTCTTTTCTTCCTATGTTGAAAATTCTGGTTGCTATGGCAACACATAGACTAAAAATATGGCAAATTTTACACATAAACTAAATCCAGTGATAACTCAAAAAGTACTGGAAATATATTTATGAAACTTGACATATGGGTAGATGGCAGTCTTGAGATTATGCATATTTTATCTGTTCTTCCTATTTTGAAAAAAATATTGGATGCCTTGTAATATGGGTAGATTGCAGTCTGGAGATTATGCATGTCTTTTTCTTTTCTTTCTATGTTGAAAATTCTGGTTGCTATGGCAACAAATAGACTTAAAATATGGCAAATTTTACACATAAACTAGATCCAGTGTTAACGCAAAAAGTAATAGAAATATTTTTATGAAACTTGTACTATAGGTAGATGGCAGTCTGGACATTGTGCACGTCTTTTTCTTTTCTTCCTATGTTGAAAGTTATGGTTGCTATGGCAACACATAGACAAAAAATATGGCAAATTTTACACATAAACTAAATCCAGTGATAACTCAAAAAATACTGGAAATCTGTTTATGAAACTTGACATATGGGTAGATGGCAGTCTTGAGATTATGCATATTTTATCTGTTCTTCCTATTTTGAAAAAATATTGGTTGCCTTGGCAACAAATAGGCTTAAAACATGGCAAATATAATAATATTTGTGATAAGTCAAAAAGAGCTGAATTTTTTTTATGAAATTGCATCTTTAATTCAAGAGTTATCTCCTCTTTAAGAATTTTGCTTTTAAAAATGTTATATTTTGGTAACAGGGATGTTTCAAATATTAACTTTAGAGTGTCCTTCAGTCCGTATGTCTGTCTGTTTGTTCATAAAAACTGTTTCCTGTGATCACTTTTAAAATTTTTTTCCAACAAATTTACTTAAAATAGAGAAAAATTGAAACATTAGTGAATGGCCAATTAATGGCCCTTCAGAATGTTGATGGGGTTCTAACCGGTAGGGGACTAATGGATTGCTAGCAATACTATGATAATTGCTTGTTAGAATAATTCCTAGGTGTTTATGATCATTAACTTCTGGTACATTTTGATTGGCATTATATAAAGAAGAGTGGTTTGTGTTATGTTTCCTAGATACAATAAGTGATTCTGTCTTTGATGGGTTTAATGTGACAACCCACGTGTCTGCCCATGTTGTGATTGTCTGTATATCTGTTTGTAACTGTTGAGCTGCGACTAGTGGATTTTCTATAATAATATTGAGACTTGTATCATCAGCAAAAAGGTTGACAGATGATTGGAGATCTAGAACAATATAATTTATGAAAATTAAGAAGAGAAGAGGGCCAAGAATAGAACCTTGTGGTACTCCAGCTGAAAGAGTACCCCAAGATGATTTTGAATTAGATATAACTACACATTGACGCCTATTAGTGAGATAGTTAGTAAACCATTCGAGGGGGCTGCCGGAAACACCTGCATGTTTGAGTTTTGAAAGGATACCTTTACGCCAGACTTTATCGAATGCTTTACTGATATCAAAGAAAATAACCCGAGCTTCTAGACCATTGTCTAGTGCTTTGCACAGTGTATCATAGATAAATACAAGTTGGTTAACAGTAGAGTCGCCAGAATAAAGCCGGATTGAACAGGAGTAAGAAAGTTGTTAGCTTGGAGATGGTTGAAAAGATGTTTGAATATTAGCCGCTCAAAAACTTTTTCCATTGTATTAAGAAGAGAGATAGGGCGGTAATTATTTGGAAGAGAGGAGTCACCTTTTTTAAAAATTGCAGATACATGAGCTACTTTCCATGTCGATGGTACTTTACGACAAAGAAGTGAGGCATTAAACAAATAATAAAGAGGTTGAGAGAGTTCATGTGACGCTTCGCGTAGAATTCTATTACTGATAACATGAGGACCGGATGCTTTTTCAATATTTAATGATCTTAGGACATTTTCTGTTTCAGTTTCAGTTAGTGTAAGTTCATATAGTGAAGTTGTTGTCATTGATGGACCAAGAATAGGTACATCCTTATTTGAATCTTCAATGAGTGTTTGTTTAATAAAATAGTCGTTTAATTTAAATTTGCTTTGTTTTCATCTGTAAAGTTTAGTTCGAGTGTTTCTGGATTTTGTAATGGGGGTATTGGAGTTATTTGTTGTGATGATATAAATGGATTTTAACGTTTTTCCACCAGTCTTTAGACGATAATGATCATCTTTTGAGTTTTATCCGATAATTTGCAATAATAATTTGATTTTAGCTTCGCGAATTAATGAAATAGTTTCATTTCTAAGTTGTCGGAATTTTTTTGCCAATGATGTAAAGACTGTGTTTGTTTTGCTTTTTCTGTAAATGCGTTTTCGTTTTCTTATTGTGGCTTCTTACTGTACTAGTCATCCATGGAGCATCTGATGGTCTTACATGTATTTGTTTATTTGGTATATTAAATTTTGCAATATTTATGGTCTGATTTGTTATATTGTCCGCATATGTGTCTCTATCTGCGTGAGTGCATGTATGCCAGTTATAATTTAGTAGATCTTGTCGGAGTTTATCAAAGTCACCCCGATTGTATTCCCATATAGTTCGTTGAAATCCACGTTGAGAGGGTTTTCTAAATTTAAGAAGACAAAAAACTGGGAGATGGAATCGATGTTCTTGGTTAAGAAAGTGTTCACCAACACCAGCTTTTACGATGTTATTTATATTAGTTACAAATATGAGATCTATTAATGATTGTGATGTTTCGTTAACGTGAGTAAGTTCGTTAATAAGTTGACTCATATTAAATTTTTGCGTAATCGAGTTGATTTTTCTGTTTGAAGTTATGGTTAATGCATCATAATTGAGGTAACCTGTAAGGATAATGTCAGAAATATTTGTATCGATAGCAAGAGCGATTGAGTCTTCAACCTTATTA